AAAGTAAGCTTACACAATTATTTGATCGTATCTTTATTTATTTATTCTTAGAAAAAATATGTATACATATTTTATTTGCTGTATACTATAAATTGTACAGGTACACTGTATGAGAGGCGTATTGTGAATACTTCATTGGCAGTGTATACATACCATGTATTAAAATATGTTTTGCGATATTCAAATAATTTTTATTCGACTAATAACATTCATTTAATTTGTTTTATTTTTCTGTGCATAATGTTAATTCAACATGAATACTAGAAAATCACATACTTGAATTTTTCTTTTGGTTTCAATGAAAAGCACAAAATAGGCCATCCTCATTTTTTTTANTATATTATATTTATTCGACTAATAACATTCATTTAATTTGTTTTATTTTTCTGTGCATAATGTTAATTCAACATGAATACTAGAAAATCACATACTTGAATTTTTCTTTTGGTTTCAATGAAAAGCACAAAATAGGCCATCCTCATTTTTTTTATAATGAGTGCGCATATCAATTACAAGCCTATTCTTTGTATCTTTATACAATAATAATAAAACATAAATTGTTGGCCACACGAAATATCACTTATTTGAAAGACATTTTCCGTACAGTTAAAACTGTATTTGTAAAAACAAAAAATATATTATACAAACGTGAACTTAATTCAAGCTTTTATACATTTGGCTCATACAAAATGATTAATCCCAACTTGTACCAGTGTATTGTCAGTTTACCATGACACATTGTGTCACATTATCATTATTGTTACAACTTTTATTATTATATTTCCTTAGAAGAAAAAAAGGATAACTTTTTGACAGCGGTGCCAAAAATAAATGGAAATATAATTTACTTGTTGATACTACTGCAAATTATATTCATTCGTCTATATTAATATATTTTCATATAGCTTTTTACGATTTGTAAAACTTTTCTTTTTACATCACTGAACGGAAAGGAAAGTGGGCCAGCTTTTATAACCTCGGTTATGATCTGTACAAGCGTTTCATATGTACACATAATTAGTGTTGGATCTTCGAGCTACTTGAGCTAGTTCGAACCTTCAAAAAGCTTGAGAAGCTTAAGCCATTTTGAATCGTTTCGGGCCATCAAGAAAGCTCGAGCTGTAGAAAAAATTGGTCTCCTTGGTTTTAATCTCATCCTTTATCAAGCCACCCAAGCTTTTTGCAGTTCGTATAGCTCAACGACTCATACTTTTTCATGACTCAAGCTGTTAAAAGAGCTCGGACAGTAAAAGCGTAAGGACCCAACACTAAAATTCCTAGAGCTACTTTAGGTAACCAAGGTAATATTCATTCTTGTAAGTCGAGACCAATTGACATTCATGATGTAACAAGTGTATAGCGGCAGGGGGTTTCAGAATGATCTAGGTTCCCAATATTTAACAGATGAGTCTAACAAAAACTTGGCGTGGGATAAGTAATTGTTTCTAGTAGACATTCATAGCTTGGCTATTGCATTATGACAACACATTTTGGTAAAAAGATAAGTTATTGTTCTAACAGTTTTGTGTGCCAATTTCCTACAAGAGATTGTGATGACCAGTCCATGGAAATAATTAGAAAAATTTGTCTATCGATCTGACAACATTTGCTGTCAAGACTTCCCCATGAAGTTTGCGAACAGTATAAATCAGTATGATAGTAGGTTTTAGCATTCAATACATCAGAAAGTCGGCTTATAAAAATATGACAGGAATTTTGACTATTGTATCGGACTCTGGGAGGTTTAAATCTTCAATGCGAGTTACCGCATAATAGTTGAAAGTGTTTCTGTCATGGTTCATGATTAGAAATTGAATAGCATTCTCTTTCATTCGCGATAGGTTATTAAAGTTATAACTTTAACACAATTTCACCTATTTTTTCATAACACAATAACATAATTTTAACTAAGTGTATTACTGTAAATAATTCAGTCTCAAATTCATTGGCATGTTAGACACATACTTTCGTAATAATTCTGCACCATTAAGTAATCCTTTCTCTCTTTCATGTTTTTAATTTTATACTATATAAATTTTCATTATAAATTCATACCTACATTATGGAAGTGTAGTTGCACAAAATTGACAGAAACTAAAATCATGCAAGCAATAGCCCAAATGATGACAAAAATCAGCCAAAAATTACTAGAGAACGGACTTGCAAATTTATTTACAACGCCAAGGCCTATAACTTTGCTTGTTTTCTGCCTGGCATAATACACCAAAAAGGTTGGAATCAAATACTGGATTACAGCTCCAGCGTATGATCCAGTGATTCCAACTAATATCGATAAATCTTTGGTACTCATTGCAATTAAGTACGATGGCATTACTGCTAATATTGGTAAGAGGAATTTACGAAGACACAAATGAGACGAATCATCGTTGAGGTACAATGATTGTAAATTATTTCTAAGAGTAATAGCTATAATAGGATAACTAGTACTCAATGTAAATACTGGAAACAATGACAAAAAATATTCTATAAGAATAATAAAAACATTATTACTTGTGGAACAGTCTCCGGATCCACGAGGGCTAAAATCTAACGTGTAAAGGTCATTTAAATGCTCGAAAGCAAATGCCCCAGTTAACGCTAGTAAAAGATAAAAACACGCTATTATGAAGTAATCCAATGCCAAAAATCGAGTTAGAGTGACCTTGTTTGCAATTGGTGCCACTAAAGCTGGTAAAGAATGATGACACATGAAAGAATAAATGCAGGCACCGAATAAACTAGGTATACCTGAAATGTTATATTACTTTGAGTTATTTTACTTACTTATATGCTAGAAAATATTTGATGCGATATAAACACATCACTGTTAATTGTATAAACAAGTTTTGTGCTTACCAATGATGTTTGCTGCTGAAGGGTTCCCTTGTGCACCATGAATAATTAAATTTTTTAAAGCATATACAATCATGATAGTAAATGCTAGCCACCGCATTGCTGATGTTAATAATTGCAGATATTTAGTCTTTTGTACATTGAAGAACACAAAAGGTCCCAATAAAAGAACAAATGTACTCTAAAAATAATATTTTTGTTCCAGCATAAAGACGAATTAATTACTTAAATATAGACTACTTTTTCCATAATGGAACATACAAGAAATATCCTATACGCATCTAATCGGTTCAGAGCAAATGCTTCCCAACAAACTTCAGTATCTGGTATTGTATCATTGCACGTCAAATTTGATGGTTGATAAGTGCAGGCAACATTAGCTAGAGTTTTGGCAACAGCTGCTCCATAAATACTTAAATCACCATAAAGATAAATAGCAAAACACAGATAAAATAGAGACGTTCCAAACTTGTTGAAAAAGATCGATGCCATTTGTCCCATTTCTATTTTATCACGAATTATATAATATCTGTAACTCATGTCTGCTTGATCGGGACTAGTTGAAAACGGTGCAACTAGTGGAGTATCTTCAGAGTCTGAATTCGAGTGACCAGATTCTCCTAAGGTTTGGAGAACCTATAGTTGAAATATAGAGAACAGTATAATTTATTCCAATGCGGAATCAATATTAAATAGGTATTTTAAGAAGGCAAGAATATTTCACGTTATGTTAAAAGCAAAAAGATACAGTAAAAGTAAGTAAAAATAAAAGTAAAAACCTCAGATCCTGATTCGTTGAAAGATGAATCTTGGGATAAACATGTACGTTTCCGATGTTGAATGTGTCGCCATGTTAATATAGCATTGGCGGATGCCATCACCTCGATGACAAATGTTACTGTAATAAAGCTACAAATATGAGATAACACATAAGTATGTTTGTAATTAATATGTCTATAATTGTAAGGATAACTTTGATTAGCTTTTTTGTAATTCTCAGTTTGTTGAAATTATTTGAAAATATTATTAAATGTCTGACAAAATGAATATTTCATTCTTTATGGATAATTTTTATGAATAAGTAACTTCACATATATGTCGTTGTTATAATTGTTACGTTCCTTTGTATACCTCATTTTGAAATGATAATATAAACTAAATAAATTATACAGATTAACAGAGTTACAGGAAAAAAACAATATATATATATATTACATATAACATAAAATTTAGTAATAGCTTACCTTATGAAGGCTAAAATCAAAATAATACTTAATCCTAGAGCCCATCCTGCTCTGCTAAAAACAGCAGGTAATGTTAACGCTCCGGTACCAACGATTAGATTGAAAATATATATGAGACCAACCTGAAATAATGCAAGATTATATGAAACCTCGTATATTACGAATAAAGCAAAATTACAAATACTAAAAAATATTATACTATTACTATTATACTAAAATATTATACTAATAAAAATATTATACTAATACTAAATAAAATTACAAATACTAAAATAATTAAAATACAAATACACAATTCAATGAACAGATAAGAAAAGTTTTGTTTACGGTAGCAGGTTATGTTGTATAATTTATTGAAAGCACAATAACCTAAGACGAAATTACTAGCTTACCCATGTTGGATATTGGTCGTTCGAATGTTGTTCAGGCATGTCGATTCACGTTACAAATTCAAATGAATCAGTCTGCTCGAGATTCCATCCACTTCTGTTACATATGTCATTAACCCAGTTATGATGGTGTTCTTTTCCAGGAATGTTTGGAAAATAACTACTGATAACTACGCTGAGATCACACAATATCAGATTGTTTCTCTTCTCCTCGATTTGAAAATTGTCCTATTGATAATCTGAACAGTTAACATACAACATTGTCATAAACTTTGTGTTGACATATCTCTCTTCTAGAAAAATACAAAATTATGTATTTATTATAAAGAACGTGCATCGATTAAAATTTGAATTTAAATGCATACATATGTTCGATTCTATTGTCAATGACGTCTATTTGTTATGGCATGAGTCGTCCAGAGTCTAGATCTAGGTAGATCCGTGCTGCCATCTACTTATATTTAAAACACATTTTGTAAATGCAAATTATTTAAATTCGGAATGAACGATAATGAAAGAATGAAAATTTCTCTCTGCTATAAATGAGAATTATAAGTTATTGTAGAGAAGCACATTTAAAGTACAATGTAAGATTAAGCGTTAGATTTTAAATATGAAAGTTGGGAACACGTTTCGTCCCATTAAACTTATAAAATATACATTATATTCGATTTAGAAACGATCACCTTTCTTTTTAAATATAATGATATATATTTGCTCTCCTCTCCCTCTCAGAGAAGTATAAATGATTAAATCATATGTTCGATATTAATACGTACATGTAAATGTATAATTAATTATGTCGTATTGTATTTTCGTTATATTTATATTATATTTCAAGTTATTTTTTTAATAATATTTTATTAATTAAATTAGATATTTATGATCTGTCCTCGGATGATGATTATC